CATGTCATCTGCAAATAGTGATAATTTAAGTTCTTCTTTTCCTATTTTGATGCCTTTAATTTCTTTCGTCTGTCTAATTGCTCTGGCCAGTGTTTCGAGAACGATGTTGAACAGAAGTGGTGAGAGAGGGCATCCCTGTCTTGTTCCAGATTTTAGAGGGAATGCCTTCAGTTTTTCTCCATTCAGAATGATGCTAGCCTGAGGCTTAGCATAGATTGCTTTTACAATATTGAGGTATGTTCCTGTTATCCCTAGTTTTTCTAGAGTTTTGAACATAAAGGGATGCTGTACTTTGTCAAGCTCCTTGATCCATTTTGAATTCACTTTTGTGCATGGCGAGAGAAAGGGATTCAGTTTCATTCAGTTTTTTCCGCATCTATCGAGATGATCATATGGTTCTTATTTTTAAGTCTATTGATGTGGTGAATAACATTTATTGATTTCCGTATATTGAACCAGCCTTGCATCCCAGGGATGAATCCTACTTGATCATGGTGCACAATTTTTTTGATATGTTTTTGTATCCGATTCGCCAGAATATTATTGAGGATTTTTGCATCTAGGTTCATTAGAGATATTGGTCTGTAGTTTTCTTTTTTTGAAGTGTCATTGTCTGGTTTAGGTATCAGGGTGATGTTGGCCTCATAGAATGAATTTGGAAGTTCTCCCTCTTTTTCTATTTCCTGAAGTAGCTTGAAAAGTATTGGTATTAGTTCCTCTTTAAAGGTTTTGTAAAACTCTGCTGTATACCCATCCGGTCCTGGGCTTTTCTTAGTTGGTAGTCTTTTTATGGTTTCTTCTATTTCCTCAATTGATATTGGTCTGTTTAGGTTGTCTGTATCCTCCTGACTCAATCTGGGCAGGTCATATGACTTAAGAAATTTATCTATGCCTTCACTATCTTTTAATGTATTGGAGTATAAGGATTCAAAATAATTTTTGATTATCTTCTGTATTTTTGAAGTGTCTGTTGTGATATTGCCTTTTTCATCCTGTATGCTAGTAATTTGAGTTCTCTCTCTTCTTCTCTTTGCTAGCATGGCTAAGGGTCTGTCGATTTTGTTTATTTTTTCAAATAACCAACTTTTAGTTTTGTCAATTTTTTCAATTGTTTCTTTTGTTTGGATTTCATTTATTTCAGCTCTGATTTTCATTATTTCTTGCCTTCTACTTCTTTTGCTGTTGTTTTGCTCACATTTGTTTTAATGGGTCTCAAAATTCTGTGACAGATTTTTGGTCAAGTTTTTTTTTTCCATTAAAAAGTACTGATTTTAAAAATGAATAACTTAAAACTGCCACACAAGGAAAACAAATGGTCCATAAAACATTCTCCTTTGCTTCTGAAGGTTTTTATGATGCATTGTTATCATTAACCAGTGTTTTACTATTAAATGGCCAGTTGTGATAAACAGTTCTGAGACCATTCTTCCACCACTGATTAAGACTGGGGTGCAAGTGTTAGGGGTAATATTCATTTAGGGCTTTCTGAGCTTTCTGTGCAGACTTGGTCCTTGCCAGTTCCAGAAGCCTTCCTGTCACCTGCTTTGATAAATCTTAGTGTTGTGAGACACCCTGATAGGGGTCCTGCCTTCTTCTAGCCTTATCACCTATTACCCCAGAGGATCTTTCTCACTGGTATGTAGAAAACTTTCTTCCTCCCTTCATTAGGTTATGTCTTTCTCATTATTTCGGTATGTTAAATTGTCACTTCCTTGCAGAAGATCTTTTTGGCCCCTAACTTGGGTGCAGTGTGCCCTTATATGGCCCACTATCAGTGTTTACTTGTGTTCACTGAGACAGAGTTCAAGTATATCTAGCACACTTTGACTGTCCTTGTGTATAGTATATATTTATGATTAGAAAAATTCTTTGAAACCTTATTTTAGAAGGAAAGTGATATGGGCAAAGAACCTGTATGGTATTAGTGGACAAAAGATATATTACTATCTTATTGTATTAGATGATGATTAAAAGGGGTGCTGGCTTTGTCTGCCAAACTTTGTTTCTTAAAAACTTTAAAGCATCTTAAATTGTTGCTAGTATACTTACTGAAAGTGAAAAATATACGCATAAACTTACTTAACAAAGCTAATGTAAAAGTTGCTTTCTAACTTGCTCCAAACATTTTATTGCTTACTCTTTTGACACAGTATACCATACAGGAGATTGTGCAGATTTTAGATAAGATTTTTTTTTTTTTTTTAAGAAAAATCTTATCAACCTTCAAATGAATGTCTCTCAGGGAATGTATAGACTTTAAAAAAAATAGTTTTGTACCAAAATACTGGTACTTTAAATACTAAAATCTCTCGGTGTTAAACTGTCCCAGAATTCAACACTGCTGTAGGCTTCCTATTATCTACATCCCTGAGCATATTTTTCTTGACTTCTGTCACCATATCACAATGGGCCTCACTTGAGAAGCTCCACAGCCTCTGTGAATGATGTGGTGAACTACGGAGTGGGCTCACAGCTTTCTCTTGACTCAGAGTCGAGACTTTCTCTGAGTCAAGAGAAAGCTGTGAGCCCACTCCATAGTCCTTGTGTTTTTTTTCCTGCTGCATGGGCCCAAGAGAACTCAGCATTTCCACATTCCACCTATCCTTCTCCCCAGATTTATCACTGTCAGATGTATACACACATTCATGTGTGTGAGTTGTTAAATCTACACCTACATTATAGAGGTATGTGTTTATATGTGGCTTATATTAGATGTTTCTATTAAAAGCTGTTATTAGATGATACCTTATAAATTATACTTAACCATAGGCAAGGTACTGTGCCAAATTTTGTGACATTGACAAAACTGAAAGTCATCTATTTTTTTTGAGATTTCTTAATTTTAATTTCCCCAGAAATATACTTTCCTTGTTACTAGCATTCATTTGTAGCATCAATTTGCTATCTATGATAGCATTGAGAATTGATTTTATATAACAAATACAAGTGACATTAAGTGTTTTGCAACTTTTTTTGCATAAACTTTGGTTTAGTTGCTAAACTCTATTTCTAGATTCTGAAATAAAAAGCTATAATGGCATTTTATATTTACTTCAAGTGTAGCTACAAAGAGGCAGAAAAATACAGTATTATGTAGTTTTTCCTTTCTTTAGAATGCCTAAGAAATAAGACATGTGATTCCAATGACTGTCTGTGGGAGTTGGTACTAGATAGAGCCACCCTTTTGCTAGAAATATACAGCATATGCAGATAATACAGATAAATGTTATCATGCAATTTCCTTCTCATTATGGGTATTTTTACTTTAAAATAGAATGGGACAGGAAAAAGTAAGAAATTATGTGATAATCTGGATATCAATAAAGGCTATTACAGTTTTAAAAATTAAGTTAACACAATGAAGTGGACTTTCATTTGATATACAGTTCTGGGAATTTTAACCCATGCACAGGTTCATGAAAACTCCACCACTATTAGGATGCAGAATAGTTCCATCTCTCCAGAAATCTTGCTGTTCCTTTGTAGCTGGACCCTTATTCAGCAATTAAACCTGGTGACTGGAGATCTATTTTGTCACTATAGTTTAACTTAAGACTGTCTTAAAAACATAATCATAAACATGCAGCCTTGGAAGACCCTTTTTTTGCACTCTACATGATGATGTTGAGATTCATTCAACTTTTGTTTGTATCAGTTGTTTCTTTCTGTTGCTTTAGTGTAGTATTCCATAGCTCTCCATTTACTCCATGGATGCTCTTTGGATTGTTTTCCATTGGACGGGGAGGCGGTCATTGTGAGTAGAACAGCTATGTCCAGATTTTTGAGTGAATGCTATATTTTCATTTGTCTTGTATAACTTTCTAGGAGAGGGATTGCTGAATCATGACAAGTAAATGTTTAATTTTATAGGAAACCTGTAGGACATTTTTTCAGTGTGGTTATAGCCATTTTACATTTCACCAACAGTGCGTGAAAGTTTTTTCTCACCATCAACACTTGGTATTTTTCATGCTTGTTTTAGCCATTCTAATATGATATCTCATTTTGTTCTTAACCTACATTTTCCCTAATGGTACTTGATTTTTTCATGTGCTTATTTGCCATTTGCATATCCCTTTTAGAGAATTTATTTGCTGATTTTTTAAACTGGGTTGGTTGTTTTCTCACATCAGAATATTCAGAGTTTTATACATATTCTAGTTTTTTGAGACATGATTTGCAAATATTTTCTGATAAACTGAGGCTTGTCTTTTTATTCTCTTAATACTATAGTATATAAGGCAAAAGTTTTTAACTTTGATAAAATTGTTTGCTGAGGTTTTTTTTTAAATAATTTTTATACTTTAGTGTCCTAAGAACTCATTGTTTAAAACTCAGACCATAAAGATATTCTTCTATTTTTAAGATAGTTTTAGTTTTTCATTTTGTTTTTAATCCATTATTGATTTAGACTTAATTTTAAGACATAAGCTTACAGTCTACCTTCCTTTTACAGATGTTCAGTTATTTCAAGATCACTCATTGAAATGACTGTTCTTTCTCTATTGAATTACCTTTGAAATTTTATTAAAAAAAATAAGGCGTTCATATTAGTGTGGCTCTCTTTCTAGACTGTTTTGTTCCATTGATCTAGGTATATGTTTGTCAATACTATACTGTCTTGATTACCATAACTTAATAGTGAATCTTGAAATTGAATAGTATCACTGCTACAGCTTGTTCTTCTTTTTCAGAACTTTTTTTTTTTTAATTCCAATTCCTTTGCTTTACTATATATTTTAGAACCAGCTTGTTTATATCTAAAAAATTTTATGAGGATTTGGCAGGATTTCTGTTAAGTGTTTAGATCAACATTGATATCTTTACTGTGAGTTTTCTAATCCATAAATATGGTGTACCTCTTTTTAGTTATCTTTGATGTCTTTAATTCTTGTTAGTTTTCAGAATGCAGATCTTATATAGATTTTTGATGGAGTAAGAATCAAGGACTTCATTTTCATGCTATTATGAAGTTGTTCTCTGTTATTATGTAGACATACCTTTGGATTTTGCTCAAGAAAACAACAGGACATCTTCTTTCTGTCCATTAGACCCCTTTCCTGATCCTTGACCTTGAGCTATAGCGCTTCCCCTTGTACTCATATTTTCATTCTTTATTGCTTCTGGTTTCAGGCTATTTTGAAGAGTGGGATAACTGGAGAGAAAAAAAAAGATTAACACAGCTGCTTTAATTCAGTTACTCCAATTTGTTTTTCAGATGCCACAATTGTTGCTTCCTATATTCGGTCTGGATTTTAATAGCTGCATTCTGTTGGAGCAACAGCATAGAGTAGCTTACCTTATCTTACCTGAAATTGGAACCAAGACTGGTCTTTTTTGCATCACTTTAATTTTAAAAACATCTACAATCTTATTGGCTGTGAGCAGTCAGTCTATCTATTCATCCAGGTGTGTAGCACCCTTCTCTTGTCTACTTCCTGTCAGGAAAATTACAATGCAACTTTTTGCCCAGTTCTGATTACCCAGTTGTTATTTACCATCTTATTAAAGCCTTTATAAGGAAAAAAATTAACATTTTAGCCTTGAGTACTTGAGTAGTTGTAATTGAATATGTAATGTCAGAGTCCTACTTTTATGATAATTTCTCTTAAGGAGGAGATGTAGTGGTATTATGTTTGAACAACTAGGTTTGAGTTATTTAAGACTGATTCTTCTGGAGGCTGTGGCAGTCTTTAGGAGAAGAGGAAAATTGACATTTAAACATTTTTTTTTAATGTGTGTGAGAAATTTGTTATACAGTTAAAGAATTTTGTGTAACTTTTAAATATGTTTAAAGGAAGGTATTTTTGTTGGGTTGTGGGGAGTGAAGTACTGAGGATTGAACCTCTGAGCTACATCTACAGACCTTTTTTACATTTTCCTTAGAGACAGGGTCTTGATAAGTTTGAGGATGGCCTTGAAACTGATTCTCTTGCTTTAGCCTCTCTAGTCCCTGAAGTTGCCACCTCCCCCTGCTAAAGGCAGATATTTTAAAGAAGTAGTAAATTCCCTAACTTAAATACATGTGTACATGCACATGTGTGTATATATGCATATGTGTGTGTATATGTTATTCACTGCTTTAAAAAATGATGTTTCTTTTGTTTTTATTAATTTATTTTTTGTACCGGAAATTGAATTCAGGGATGCTTAACCACTGAGCCACACCCCGAGTCCGTTTTCTTTTTTGAGACAGGGTTTCACTAAATTGTTCAGGGTCTCACTAATTTGCTGAGGCTGGCTTTGAACTTGCAATCCTCCTTCCTCAGATTTCTTAGCCAATGGGATTACAGGTGTGTGCCACCATGCCTGGCTAATTTATCTAGAAATTCTGTAGTGAGAGCATTGAAAGCTTTTGTGTTGAAATTGGAACAGACATATTTTCTTTCTAACTCATTAGCCACTTTTGTGTTTCAGGTTTATTTTGGGTAGGCCAAGCAGATTCTAGTATAACCATGGATTTCTGGTTGACTATCCCATAATAATTGATCCTTTCAGTGTAAGTTTTAACTATGTTGTAGCCCAACATAAAATGTAGGAGAGTTACATAATTTCAGTTCCAATCTGAGAATATTTAGATACCTCTGTATTTGGTATTCCATGTTCTTATGTGGGGGAGAAGAAAGCAAAGATAAGATTAATTTTGTGTTTGTGATAAAGATAGGAAGTGCTCTATATTCTCTTCTTGGAAGGAAAGTATACCATAGCCCCAAGATGTATGACCAGAACTTCTTCAAAAGACTAGCTACTAATTTTTATTTATTTATTTTAGTTATACCTCACTTTGATGAAGGCTAGGAAGGAGGTGCACAGTCACAATGAAATGAAAGAACACAAATCTTGAGTTCAGAAAAATGTGGTTTTGAATCTAAGCTCTGTCACTAACATGATGGTTTCATTGCTCAATAACTCTCTTCTGTCTTCTAGGTATGGTTGATTTATTTAATTCAGGGGATTATTTGATTGACTTCAACTATAATGTTTGTAAAGGGTCCCAAAACTGTGCTTGCCACATAGTTACATAATCATCAAGAAATAGTGCTTTCATTGTACACTAGTGAGAGTGAAAGATTAGTTTAATAGCTCAGTTTTATGAAAGATCACTTGCTAATGTTCAGCTGTGATGGGTAACAAGAAAAATGATTAGCTTAATTAATATGGTACAATGTTTTGGGCCAGAGGACCCAAGTTTGCTTTCCTGTTCTTAAAGCTGAGATAACAAGTAGTAATGGGTTTAGGGTAAGGTTTTTGTCAAAGCAGTAGTTTTGCATCTGTGGTTTAGCAGGTTCTGTTTAAAATTTTACTTTAACTTCTCCTCTTTATGTGAATGCCATCTCGGAATGATACAAATGTTTTAGGACCCATCATGAGTGTCATTAGAGACACATAGTGTATTTATTTGGATATTCTAGTGTCTAGGGTAAGCATGTGAAGGTATTGGATTGATAAGAGAAGTGGAAGAAGCTGGTCATGGTGGCACACCTGTAAGACTGAAGCAGGAGGATCACAAGTTCAAAGCCAGCCTCAGCAACTTGCACCCTGACTCAAAAATAAAATTAAAAAAAAAAATAAAAAGGGCTTGAAATGTGGCTGAGTGAAAATATGCTTCTGGGTTCAATCACTAGTAATCCCTACTCCAAAAAAGAAGAAGAAATAGTAATAAGCTGTGTGGTGATTACATGGATTTCTCAGTGTTCATGCCTGAGAAAACAGACCATATTATTTGGCATCCGTAGCAGTATGGATGCAAAAAAGAGAAACCACACAGTAGGCTAAATAGAAAGTTTATATAAGAATTATTAACTATGGGGGAGGGGAAAGGGGAATGGAAGGACATCAGAATAAAATAGACATTATTATTGCTGTGGGTATATACGTGACTGCATGACCAATGTAATTCTGCAACCTGTACACTCAGGATAAAATTTCTCATTTTTCTGTCTGATTCAAATGTGTGATATGTCAAGATCATTGTACTGTCATGTGTAACTAATTAAAACAAAAATAATAATTTAAAAAATATGCCACAAAGAATTATTAACTATGATAAAAGAGTATAATACATAAAGAGGCATTATATGGCTCTTGGTAACCTGAGGCCAAGTTACCAAGAAGGACAAACTTGCAAAGGGTTCAGACTTTGTTGAGAAGGGATACTGGCCAATTTGTATGCGATTGCATACACAATGTATATTGTGTGCATGTACTAATATGTAACAAAAATTCCACCGTTATGTACAACTATAATGCACCAATAAAAAAAAAGTAGAGAAAAAAAAAGATACTGTGGTACCAGCTCACTGGGAACTTGCTTGTATAGCCAGTGTGGAAGTTGTTTTGGAGTTGTCGGGCAAATAGGCCACCCTCCGGAATGCTGGTAGGGAGCAGGCAATCAGTAACCAGTAGCATGGATATGTATTGGAACTATTAGCACCAGAAACGGGAAGAAATCCTTTCCATTGCTGGATGGTGGGGATAGGGCGGTATGGGTGGCAGAGACCAGAGGAGGAGGGGATAGAAGGAAACACTCACTGCTCTGTGCAGCCTTCTTGAGCCAAGGCAGCTGTGTGCAGGTCTTAAAGGGCCCTAACAAGGGAGTCCAAATTCCATAGGCAGAAGGCCTTCAGAGCATTCTGTGTGAGGGCTCTTGTATCTGTGTCAAGGGTAAGGCAGAAAGGCTATTTCCAGGTAGAGGCTGGAAGATCATAGAGGGACTGCCTTCTGTGTCCACTGCTAGGGCAGGCTCTGCTGGATGTCTTTACACCTACATCTCTACTCCCCACCCCTACCTCAGGCCAGGTTGGAAAATCCAGAAAGTCCCTTCCTCTATAGTTCTTTCTAGTTCCCTCTGTAGGGAAAGCTTAACATCATTCCTCCTTTGAAGGAGCAATGTTTAAAGGAAATCAGTTGTTTTATCACATAGTATATACATTGAAGGGTCTATTTGGAGCTGAGAGGTAGTGAATTAATAATACACATAGCATCTTCCTTTTTGAAAAAAAATAGTTATGCCAGTATATTGAATCTAGAAATGTACAAAATGTGAACTTGATTCTCATTTTGCATTGCATGCAGCTCTGTCTTCTGAAAGAGTGATTCATAAAACTTAAGGGAATTTAAATGATGCTGATGATACACAAAGACTTGCTAAACTTTGATCATAATATCCCCTAAATATGCTAGAAGCACTTTGGGTTTGCAGCAGCTGGTTCCAAGTTATTGATGGTTGTCTTGGTGACAGATGGTGTTTGGGATTGTGACTTAGAGGAGACTCTGCAAGCTTACCTCTCTAACTTACCACCACCTCTCTCACCTTGCATGGCATATTTGAGCCAGCAGGGAAGCCCAACCTTGTCTACTATGGTATTGCCTGCCCATCAGGGAACTTTCAATTACACTGACATTTTACCCGTGACTGATGACCTCAGCAAGTTTCCTGGAATGCTTCATTTTCTTCTAGCTTTATAAATAGCACTGACTTAGAAGTTTTAGGCAGTACTAGACAGTTTTATTTGCCAAACCCTTTTCTACAGTTTTGGGGCTTGCAACTCTATCTCCATTTGTCAAATTTTGTAATATATTGATTGCCTTGGAAGGTTTTTAAAATAAAGTATTATTAATACAAATTTATTATAATTTATCATAAATAGTACATATATTGTGGAAAGATATTAAGAAGATATTAACTAATACAAGTAAGATAAAAGTAACATTTTTCTATCCAGAGATTATTTCTACTTGCATCTCAATATGTAGAATTCTAGACTGATTTATTTCTGTGTAATTTGTGTTTTTAAAAATGAATTGTTGCTGGGTGCCTGTAATCCTAGCTCCTGGGGAGGCCAGGCAGAAGGTTTGCAAGTTAGAGGCCAGCTTCAACAATTAGCAACTTAGACCTAACTTAGACCCTGTCTCAAAATAAAGAGAGATGGGGATGTTCCTCAGTGGTTAAGCACCCAAGGATCAATCCTCTGAACTAAGAAAAGTGAAGAGCATTTTTTTTTTATGTCAATTTATTTTCGTCTTATGTAAGTCCATGCTTACATACTCAGTTCATTCACACGTTGAATTAATTGATCCCAAAACATATATAGGTACTTCATCCTCATTAGGATCTAATCGGGGACATTTCTTTTCATCTGGTCATGTCCTACAAACTCCACGTAATCTCCATC